TAAACACCTAGGTCCTATAGCAGCTCGTACAAAGATGTATTGATCTCAAGAGCCGTCGCTTAGAATCTCCACATTCAGGCGTGCAAATAAAACCAAGGTAGACGTGAAGCTGGCTCCTCCGGGTGCCCCACCACAATCCTCTTGAGACGGTGAATCTCAAAGGCGTCCTTCGTCATGACCCTTTTTACCGCCTTTCCATTCAACAATGAACGATCTGAGCTTTGAAGCGTATTGATCCTGGCAGCTGCAACTTTCGCGAGTTCCTATTCAACGGAACGAGAAAGCTGCATGTTGCGACAACAGAATTACAAGGCAAGTGGTCGAATCTTCATCGAGAAACTTCTGGGAGCCTGTCTTCGAATAGGCAGGAGCTTGAAACACCAAGAAAGATCGGAATGAAACTTTTCTCCAACGCGCGACAAGAGGAGCACCAAATGACTTGAATCGTTTGAAATTCGTCCGCTGTTTGCAATCTATCAATGAAAAGCGTTTTGTGGGCGAACGCAGATTGGAAGGGCTCGTTTAAGTTACTACGTGGGTTGCAAGCTTGGAAGCTTTTATTCAATCCAGGATCCGAAATTTAAGGAGCACAAGTCAAAGAACATGCAGAACTGCCTGTTCACAGGCTGGACGGCTGAAAACAAAAGTGAACCGACCAAGTCCCAGCAGCTATGTTGATAGCATGGGTGCAAGCTTGCGGTACTGTCTTTTCAAAGATAGCACGAAGAACGGCAACAGAACGAAAGGCTACGGGTTATGCGGGAGCGCCCGGGACAGCGCGGCCCGCGAACAGGGCAGCGAGTTAAACGAGCATAAACGCGCTGCGTACGGGTACGCGCTGACGTAAGGTGCTGCAGGAAAATCACATCTGAGGAATTGTGGTCCTCAGAGCTCCCACATTCATCACGGTCTACCAAAGACACCACAAAAAGACCTTCAGAACCGACCATGTACTGCATACCAGACATCGAGCTCACGGGGACAAACTTTCGACATAATGACTTGGACCTTCATGATGCTCGAATGAATGTTCGGGCCGTGGTAATCAAGACTTGACGGTGCCCAGTGACTGAAAATCGTCAGACGAGAGAGAATGATTCATAAACTTCTGCGCGAGAAAAGCTTTCCGTGTGGATATACAACCTTGGGGTCAAAAGTCATATTCACATACTTGAAGATTCCCATTCCTGCAAGATGACAGGGATAGCGACACCTCTCCAACATTTCTCGAACGTAGAAAGGCAGCGACGGCACTCCGTCGTTGGCCATTTTCCTGAGCGTCAGAAGTGCTCACTGGTTTGTCGCCAAAAGTGGTCATTGCCATTCACGGGGCGTGCCAGGCTGAACACGCATTGGTCCCCGTATTGCCACATTTACTTTCTTTAAAGACGACATAACTGCGGGAAACTGCGGGGCGGAACAGCACCTGCCCAATCAATGCAGCAGATATCAAGACAAGGAGGACGTAAAGGCTCCTAATCCCGGAGACTATAGGAACGGGGGAGAGGAAGTGGTTGCTAATGGACTGACCTCAAAACCGCTATTGCAAAACATTTTCTGTCTTTGGGTACACGGATGCACAGCAAACGACACTTCCTCGCTCAATCGAACTGGGCACTCATCGAATACTTCTATGAGTGCCATACGACTCAGCGTGCCCCAGAAGGATATAAGAAGAATGAAAGTTGGAAGGCGCACAGAAAGCAAAGCGTGGTTCAGCTTTAAGGCGGCCTCTCGGTGCACCCCCGTCTGACAGGTGCCATCGGATCGAAAGCACTTCCTGTAAAACCTCGAATTTCGACACTAGCATCACCGGGTGGCGGATGAAGGGTGTTGAGACGCTACTCAGCAGCTTGTCTACCATCATAGCTAACAAACAGAGCGCTTCAACCAAATTGTCAAATCTGAACAAACATGCTGACTGGCTGGACAGCCGTTGCAAATCCTTGCGGGCAGGAATGCAATACGTGCTCAATGTCGCTTACGGTCAGACATTGAGACGTTGTCCAATCAATGAAACACATCTTTTCAACAAGTACTCGAGAAATATTCCAGGGCAATGAAGGATCTGGAGCGCCAGCGTAAGTGTCACAGAGCGCACTCTAGACGAAGGTGAAAGATTCCAGTACCTGACAGGTGGCAGTGGATCTCTACCCTGTGACCGTTAATTCATTGCACCACGCGGTCAAGAACTGCCAACGGAAATTAGCTGGGCCCAATGGCCAACGTAGAAAAGCTTTCTAAAGCTGCAAGCGGACACGGATAAAGCAGATTCCGCCGTTGATTGGTGCTGAATTTGGTCAAGAGGGTGCGAAAGCCCCGCTAAAGTCCGGGGCTTGAAAGAATGCAATATGCGTGAGGCGTCTCCAGAAGTGTTCTGGGATCTCCGCTGGCGAGCAAGCCGGGCAAACCGGCCTTGTTGCCATTGGACACTTGGATCATGGCCCGTTCAAACCGCTCTTTGAACCCTACGAAGGCGGCATCCGTGTACAATTTGATGCCAAAGCTAAACATTAACGCTTTTAAGACCAAATTAACAATCACAATCAAAATCTGGTCCCAAACCATAATCTGTTCTGAGTCACCCACTCGAAGTAAGGCTGTGGAGCAAAAGCTTCATACTGTTCACGCTATTTTGAAAGGGCACGTACTAGCCCGAGGATCCATTTAGGTTGGCTGGTAGGTAGCCTAAAAACTCACTTAGGAGGCATCAGAAGTTACTAAGGGACAGAAGAAGAGCTTGGCCGGGAGAATGAAAGGAGCGCTCTAGAGGAAAATGGCAAACTAAAGTCTAGTTGAGAATGTCAGGACCGGATTCAATGGCCATTCAGTGAGGGACACGGCGCTCGGCGCGTTGAACATCCATCAATCGCATCACGGACGGGCAAGGGACAATCGGTAAGACTTTTGTATATGAATACTCTTCATCGAGCCTGCATACGGCTGAGCACAAGAAGGTCAAAAAGATTGGTTCCCCAGCCGCATTCAAAGTTGCAAAATTTAAGCAAAGCATCGAAGAGAACACGGGTTGACAAGTCGGCAGCGTTAGGTCTTCCCGGCTAGAACGTCAACAATGACGATTCTTGCAAGAGCGTCTTTCTATCCAATCGGTCCTCGAGGTAGATGGACTAGCGCGTTTGTACAAACGGGATGCATTCGATACGTATATTGTAGCGGACATCAGAGCGCAGTTAGGCTGAGCACGAAAGTACTCGGGATTGAGACGCATCATAGCCAGCAGCCACGCTAATCGAACTGTACAAGGTTGCCACTAGGCTTGAATCGGGTGCACTCAGGTAGCCAGACGACGGACCGAACGCACCCTCTGTCTCTTACGGGTTTTACAATGTGGACACGTGGATGTAGAAACCCAAGTCTTGCTTACGTCGACGTTTTAGGGTTAAGGAAGACGCCGAACGTCACTTAAGGCACTTCATACGAATAGCAACAGAGGTGCGAGTTACAAGCATAATCGAAACAGCAGAATTTGATAGGCGACGTCTTTTGACAAATTTTAAGAGAATACGTGTCCACATACTTGAAGGCGGCGTCTCGTAACTGCCAGGTCCTGATTTCGGCGCCCAAAGAATCTCATACTCGGATAAGGTAGTCGCCACGACACACACTCGCGCCTTGTACTGCGCAGTGCAGCACTGGACTGGGTATACCGCAGCTTCGGCAGAGCTGCGAACTCCTTTAAACAGTTGGTTGTGCGCTTGTGAGCGCGTAAGGAAGCCCAAAAGCAGGCGAAGAAGGAAGGGACGGAAACGGAAGCGGAAACGGAAGCGGAAGCGGAAGTGCAAGCGGAAATGGGAAGCCAGTAAGGAAACGAAAATGGATACGGGCAATCAGCTGGGGTGCCCCAAGCCATCGTACTTTAGATCGAGGGCGGTTAATTTCTGCCACGCTCTTCTTCGAACCGATCACCATGGCATCAAGTATGAAAATCACGCAAGTGAGAGACGCTCTCTCAGCTAAATTGCTATCAGAGCCACCACCTTTAGCATCGGTATAACCTTGACTCCAACCCAGAATCAATTGTTTTCGTAAAGAAGTATAACAGGTAAATATCTGGAAGACAACCTCAAAAGTCTTTCGTGCAACGAGCCCTCTGTGCGTGTGACAGACTGAGCCAAAGAAGAACGAAGTTTACTTATGCGAACACCGGAGAGACGTTCACAAGAAACCGAGCAGATCGGAATGATTGGTGAGCACATAAGAAAAAAGCGCGGGCACAGTGATAGTGATAGGCCAAACTGGTTAAATACTCGCACAAAGAAGTTAAAAACCCTAGCTCGACAAACGGCCAGCTAGACCGGTCGGCCAAAAGGAAGCTCTGAACCCAATTCATCACTGTTAATATGTGTGACGTGCCTATTCGACGACCCATCTTCCCAACTATAACCAGAGTACTTATGTTTTCCCCACCACAATCTCAATCGTTCCCTCCAACTGCCATCGTGGATTTTGAAACGGCCAAAGCGTCCAAGTTCGTTCTCGAGTGCACAGATACGAAACCTGCCTTCAACCCTCACCTAAAGAAAACCTTCTTGAACGCTCTCGCCGTTTCCGCCTCGCTTGCGCATCAACCCCGCATTGACGACGCAGGTCCGCTTTAACCACTCCCCTCACGTTGCAGAATCAGGCCTCGTTTCCGGGACCCGCAGAGCGCCAGTCCTGTCCCGCTCACCCTTCTTCCGGTCGAAATTGGTCTGCGTCACTAGAGTCTGAGCACGAGCCCAAAATTACTCTACCGCAGGAAGCCAGAACAATATCGATTTGCTTTTCTGGAAGTTGAAGCCTGATCAACGCCAGAAGGTTGCAAAAGCTCTTTCTCTCTTGGAAAAGATCACAGGAATTGGGCCTCTGAGGGAGGACGTGCCCAACTTCCCTTGAGGTGTATCGACTTCATGTCGACATCGATCTGCGACGGAAACTGTATTCACACGCCCTACTCGGAGTTGGTGCAAGGCGGCATGTGCCTCCAAAAGACCCTCCACGTGTCAGGTTTTGAGGCAGAACAAATGAGAAGAGCGCTCAGAATGAAGAAGAAAAGCTTGTCATTTGACTGTAATGCGTTCTTAATGTTGAATGAACAAGCGTCCTTGCATCTTGTAATCTACATGGGCCACTACTAGGGTTTCTACCTACGCAGGCATCAAAATGTCTCAGGCTTTCTCGGATATTTGACTGTGCTATGGTACACGAAAAACGCAATATTAGCAGACCTGCGAAACCAACCAAAAAACCGACTATCTTTTTATAACGGCTCCTCCTTTGGCCAGCCCACAACTCTAAAGCACGCACAAACACAAGCGGTCCTCTAGCTACTCTTCTTGCTTGGCTTTAGGCGCCCTCTCATCGTCTGCTACGTGTACAACCAGCTTCCCCACGTTGTGCCCCTGCAGTAATCCAATGAACGCTTGAGGCGCCGACTCGAGGCCCTCGCTGACGTCCTCCACGTACTTGATCTTGCCCTCCTTGAGCCACTTGCTGACGTCATCCGGGAAGGACTTGGCGAGCGGTGACGTCATGTAGTCGCCCACCAGGAAGCCTTGCATCTTGATGCGCTTTGCGATCAGCTGCATGGGCGGGCGAAAAAGGGGTGATGTTAGATTTGGAGCACTTGCTCAAGCCACAATGAATCTGAAAAAGGAAGGCTTCTCTGTTGTCGAGCGGTGCAGTAACTTCGCTAGCATTCGATTCTGGTCAGAGGTGATGAGGCCGGGGAGTGTGAAAAGGCCACTGCTAGAGTCAGAAAGGGCTCAGCAGAAGGATGAAAGAACCTATCTTTGAGGCGCATCCATTTGCGGCCCCGCAGGCTTGAAGCATCTTTGCCCAGGCACCCTACGCAGAAACTCACGCCAGCAATTCTATGCAAGCGCTTTGCACTCAGCTCAGCATGGAGAACCGAATTGCGTCAGCATCTCTTAAGGGAAATCTCCTCACGGAGCGACGGGTTGCTTTAAGCACACCAAAACCGGAGTGATGAATCAGCTCGGAGGGACGTAAAATCAACTTAAATTTGACCTTTCAGCTAAAGGAAAGGGTCACCAACCAAGCCAGAATCTTCCACTCACGAAAAAAGGGCAGATCCTGACCAAGGTTTTAACAAGTCACATATGTCCAATCCGCAAGGACGATTGATGCGTTGTAGCCTCTGCGGAATACTTTCAGGATATTCTCAGTGAAGCAACACGCGCAATGTGATAAGAAGGCCCAGCTCGAACGATCGAGTCATGCAAAACAGACCCGAAGATCCTCAGGATTCTCAAAAGCACTTTCTGCCAATCTAACAAAAGATTTGATAGAGCAAAGCGATGGTGCGCACTGGGGCTCTCGACAAAACCCTTGCCCTGTTGTCAGCACTCTGCTGAACTGAGAGAGCGTCCCCGAAAGCATTGCCCATTAAGTTCTCTAATCCAGCTCCCTGTAAACGCAAATCATTGCTGGCAGTACGGAAATAACGGAAAAGAGATGCAATCAGCCAGAAAATAAGAATCCGCATCGCCCCTTGATGCTAGATTTTGCTGAGAGGACAACGAAGCAATTCGAAGCAGATCAGCAAGCGACACTTACAACACTTCTTTACGTTTTCACCAAAACCTTGCTCTGCTTCTCCCACAGAGAAAAAGGAAGCCAACGCCACAATCAAAAACGGAAAGGGCATTTGAGTGACTCTCAACTATTGAAACCACAGCATCTGTATCGAAACACCTATGAGCCCTACAGCTCAGTTCACTCTTGCCCTTCATCGCCGTGGTTTCGTGAAGGTTCTTCCGTGACAGAAGCAGAAGAAAACTGAGCAACAAACAGGATCTTCAAGGCTCGGCGCTTCGCAGCATGCTATCTACACCAGCTGAATTCCGGCCAACACAGCCACTCGAGCAGAAAGGTGCATCCAGCAGTTTAGTGGGTTCTAGTCAAGCTTGCGAGTCAAAACTTGGATCATGATCGAGTTGGGTCGACGTTTTCCGTGTGCATCATCCGGGTGCACGTCGTTTCTCTCTGCCCCCCTCGACACAGACTGCAAGGACACCAAGACAATGCCCAACAAACTAGCACATCAAAGAAGAACAATGGGCAGCCGCGGAAGGCATCAATCGGCGCGGATGAAGCTGGTCGTAGCTAACCAAACACGAGCACATCATCGCCCAACTCACAACAGACAGAACGGAAAGGGCTGGACAACACGAGCGCGGTCATTACGTTGCCTCGTCGGCACAGAAACAAGGACACAGACAACTCTGTTATCCAGATGCTACTCACGACACAGCACCTTAAGTCCGGGGTCCAAAGTCGAATCTGGTGGCACCTTCGAGCTGGCAGCCACAAATGAGCAGCCACATAACCAAGCTTCTTGTTCTTTCCGTCCTTATCCTGCTTTAGAGAAGCAGGAAATGAGCCAACATGATAAGCTGCAAGAAAGATGGTCCGTTTGCAGGGCATCAGCGGTAGAGCATCTACTGTATTGAGCAGTCTGCTCGCTATTCACCCGCTTCATTGCCAATCCTCCTATACGGACCATCAGGATTCTGGTTGATACGTATGGAAGAAAGGAAAACACGAGCTCTAAGCGGGCTCGGAAGCTTGTCGGATGAACCACACAAAAGTGGGAACCATAGCTGAGGTGAGCAGGCCTTGAAGGCGCATGCCCTAAACCGATCTGGATGAAGTCTATACGTTACCGGAACGAAGGACGTGCAGTCGATGTGAATGTTTCCATGTGAACGATGTTTTGAAGATGCCAACAATGAGGCAAGATGCAAAAGACAACCGGGCTGCCAGGAGCGGCATATACTCACTTGATAATTGAAGGCTTTGCTTACACATCCGCAACAGGTGGCTTACCATGTGCTCAGCTCAGCGGTGGATCTTTACTACCGAACATGAAAAGCCAGAGCTCGAGCGACCACTTCTAAACTAAACAAGTGACGCGCCTTCCGGAAAAACGTCAAAGCTCGTCACGTGCTGACGTCCAAGGAAAAAGAAGCAAGATTGAGCAATCATGCCCAATGATTTTTCATCATCGTCAGCAAAAACTATCATCGATGCGTCCATATATAACCAAATGGCTCCATGCCCATACGGAGGCAACTTGTTGAAAAGATGCATAAAAGCGGATTCTCAGCCAGAACAATCAAAGAAGTGAGTGATTGAAGACACCAAAAGAATCCGGATTCACGGAAACAACGAGTCTGAATTCAGAGAAGCCGCATGTGACTCCCGTAGGACCATTCCAATCCCTCGAACGCCCCATCACTGACCGAAACATCTGCAGCACAAGGGCATATACCCGCGATGGCCTCCATCCCCCCAGAGAACCTGAAGGTTACTCTACGAACAACCTGCTGCTACAAGCCTCACCTGGATCAGGCCATGAATCCCCTCCCCTTCCTCCAGGTTGTACTGGCTGATCATCCCGCACACCGGGATGCGCGCATGCGTGTTCGCGTTCTGCAGCACCGCCTCGAGCATTGACCCGCCGACGTTCTCGAAGTAGACGTCGATCCCCTTGGGGCAGTACTTCTTGAGGGCCGCGCTCAGGTCGGGTTCGTCCTTGTAGTTGAACGCCTCGTCGTACTTGAAGGTGTTCTTGAGGAGCTCGACCTGCAAAAAAAGGGTGCTGACCTCAACAAGCGGCGACGATATGTTGACGTCGAATGTCTTCCACCTAGAGTGAACGTATCGCAGGCTTTCTTCCAAAAAAGAAGGTACACCATCCAACTCTTCTTGAAACTGGTTCTGATCCTCAGCTGAACGCCTCATCAAGTCCAAAGGCCTTCTGAAGGAGCTTGTACATTAGCCAAACGAGACGTCTAATATTAGCAAGGATCCGTTGACGTTAGAAGTTCTGAAGCTATAGTCAGCACTAGAATCGTATAACCCCTTAGCCAAACAGCGTTTTGGTGGTGCAGTCACATCGTCCTTGTATCTGAACTTCAGTCCATGCCGCCAGGCTCATTAGCAGCGTGTGCCAACGGAAAGAGAGGATGAACGGAGAAAAATAACGCCACGTTAGCAATCAAAACCGTCTAGGATCCACAGGAGTTTCGAGCAGCAAAATGTGACTTCATTTGTCCTACCAATTCGACTCGATTAATTGTTATGAGCAGAGTCGCTTGTGGAGACAACCCATCTGCTCAAGCAGCGAATCGAAAAAGGAACACCAAAGTCGAATTGCTGTCTTCATGCATCAAGATTGCTGATTCAATTGCATTACCTGGGTGCGCTCTTTTGTTTCTAACAATTATAACGACCAACGAAACCACTGGAAGGAGCCGAATTTGCGAATCTTGAAGCAACTTCTGGACGAACCGGGGGCTGGCCCACAAGTATCTTCCCACTTACAACCAACTAGAACGAGACTCTTCTCCCAAACACAACCAACACCCAGCCTAACCAACTAGAATGAAAGCCAGACAGAGACCCACCTTTTCTGCACTGCCAGCGCTCCCCACGACATGCGCCCCCTTGATCTTCGCCAGCTGTCCCACGATCTGTCCAACCGCTCCCGACGCCGCCGACACATACACCGTCTCACCTTCCTTCGGATCCCCAATGTCAAACAAACCGCAGTACGCTGTCAATCCCGTCATGCCCAAGACCCCCAGGAAATATGAGAGGGGCAAACCCTTCGGATCGATGGGCCTTAAGCCTTGGCCTTTGGGAACTAGAGTGAAGAGCTCCCAGCCAAGAGAGCCCAAGACAAAGTCTCCTTCCTTGAACTTGGAATTTGCAGAGGAGACGACGACTCCGACAGCACCGCCGACCAAAGGCTGCAGGAAGGGCAAGTGTGTGTCAAGACCAGGTCCGATGAAACCGAGGCATATCACAGGCCAATTCGAAGGGAAGTACGAAAGGACGAAAGCTGACTTGATGAAGTTGCGAACAAGCACAGCCGACAAGACACAGTGCTGGAAAAGTTGCTGGAAAAAACCAGTGAATCCTGCTCGGCAACAACGCGGCTGAAATTTCCCCTGATTTGCAGATTGATCATGTACTCTTTGCAAAGTTTCTGCACCCTTTGGTGCATACAACAATACAGAATCCAAACTTTATTCAAGGGAAGGCTCACGAGTTGTTTGTTTGATCCTTTCAAAGCACAGAAGTTTGCACAGAAAGGTTTCATGCACGATTCTGCTGCAACTTAAGCTCCACCTTACCACAGGTGCATGCATGCCTTACCACCCTGATTATGGATAATACTGCTACAACATTAAAGCAGAATTATTTAAGGTGACAATGAAACCCTTGAACCAATAGAAGCCTTTGCCTCTCGATATCCGACACATAAAGAACACCACTTTACAATGTGGCTTGACAAAATAGCAACTACGTTCGTAGAACGGGGGCCAGCTCTATTCAGGTTGATCAAATGCACAGATTGCCATCTTTACAATGGCCCTGATCAACCAGCCTAAAAGCACTCATCACAGCATTCAATAGATAAGAGGGGGAGTCCACTCACCTTAGCGAGTGAGAAGCCCTGCGCATAGCCCGAGCCCCCCGCCTTCATCCGGCCCCGCATGTAAGGGTCCAGGCTCAGATACAGCACTTTCACGAGAACATCGTCTGAACCTTCATCTAATTTTGTGGAAAGCTGACTTTCTCTGAGCTCAAAAAGGGACTCCTGCGGCAGGCCTTTCGGGTACTCCTTCAGGAACCAGCTCTTGTTTGTGACGGTACTGTCAGACGCCGCCATGATGTTGAATCAGAGTGGAGAACAAGGTGCGCTCAACAACTTAATGCTCGAATTTGACTTTGGCGTTTGACTGACCAAATGCTGTAAAATTCAAATCTGAAGGGATTTGGAAGAAGCTTTACTCGTCCTCCGAGTCCCAGCTTCCTGCAATGCTGCAGCATTGCGAGATCTCTCTGGAACGCGCGCCATCGCCTGGTGAGCTGCGCCCGTCAGCAGGTGATCAGCATCTTCTCTGCAGAGGGCTGGACAGCTGGCATCTAGAAATGCGGGCTTAAAAACATGACCTTGCCAGTAAATGTGATCTGAAAGCAGATGTATCTTGACGGTCGATGAGAATAACATCATCTACATACAAGATTCGTCCGATAAGTAGGCTAGATATCCAACGGCTAGCATGCTTTCCGAAACGGTCAGGGCAGCTTTATCGGCAGGGGGTAGATAAGAGGACGTATCGGTACCCCCTGCAAAAAGCAAGGGGATCACGTACAACTCGAACAGCACAGGTGTCCACTTTTGACTGGATCCAAAGCCAGTTGATCATTGAAACCTTTGACTCTGTCCCCGGGAAATTAAGGTACCCGGCGACCACAACGACAATCCCCGAGCACCATCTAACACGGAAGATTGTGTCTCATGGGATGCTCGGAATGAACTTTCCGGGAAGATTTACGAGGGAGCAAATGTAATGATGTCCCTAAGCGGCCGGACATTGCCGAACCAGTCTAGCGGAGCGGAACATTTACAGTAGCGGAAGCAGCCAAACGGACTTTCAGGATTCCGTTGCGACGCTAGCGTCATAAATGGCGCGCGGAATTCGTGGCGACCCGTCAAACTGGTCGGTACGATCAGTTTGCACGTTCTGAAAATGTCAACGGTGACTCGTGAGTTGCGACTGCCCGGCTTGCTTTGGTCAGCATTCTGCAAGTTTCTGAGCCTCTGTTGCTAGGACATGCGCGCAATGCCGGAGAAGCGCAGGAGAGTCAGAAGCGTTCGTCTCTCAAACTTCAGGACTTCCTGAGATGGTGTGGCCGCCATTGTCCTCTTGCTGCCCTAGCGCCTGTAGAAGATGTCAGTAAAGGAACAGTACTTTGCGAGAACCGTAACCCCACCCCCCATTCCCCTTCGAAAAAGTCAGATCTTGGAAGATCAGCAAACCAGGACCTGAATCTGGGAGCTTTAGTGGGTTTTCTGTACTCATGAACTTAGAGAAGTGATTCTGCCCTCTCCACAAATGCCCCAGGGGCGCAATGAAGCTCTCGAGGCATCTGCCGTTTCGCTCGGGGTTTCACTGCAGCACAGTGTTCCTAGTGGTTCTACTCCAGTTCATCTTCCTCTGGCACCAACTCAAGTTGAACATCAACTCCCCAGGGCCCAACCTCCGCCGCTCGCTCACCGTCCGGGTTCCAGACGAAACCCATGCGTTTCTGGACAGGGCAGCCGACGGTATCGCTGAGCAGTACCACGCAAAACTGCTGGCGGCGCAGGGAGACCCGTCTCACAAAGTCATCATCTTTGATTGCTTGGAGCAGGGGAAGTGTTACGGTTTGGGGGACCGGTTGCGGGGCATCTCCACGCTGTTCTATCTGTCGGTGTTGACGGGAAGCTCGTTCTTCATCAACGCTCCCATCCCGTACCCACTGGAAAACTTCATGGTGCCGCGGTTACACGACTGGCGAATCAACGGCAACAACGAGACGGGGAAGCAAAGCAAGAAGCCGTGCACTTGGGCCGAGGGTCTGGAAGGACGGATACAGACTCCGTTCGACGAGGTTGACGAGCCGAAACCAGAACTAGCGCAGGTTGACACGGTGGGGAGAAACTTGTTGAAGCAGTCGAGTCTGCGCTCGCAGCAGGACACGCAGTTCTGGGACTGGTTGATCCAGTGGCCCCAGCGGCTGTGGAAAGTCGACGTGGAGACGTTCGACGCGGAGCAGGAGCTTAGCGGGAAGCGGTTGCACCGGTTTATCTGTAACCTAGGCTACCCGCAGGCATACCTGACGAACGAGCATCTGAAGAAGGAAGTCCAGGGTTACCACATGGATAAGCTGCCGCAGCACTATCTCTTCCCGGTCGCGCTGCGGGTGTTGTTCAAGCCGTCGCCGTGCGTTCAAGCGGAGATGGACCAGTACGTGCGGCGGTTTCCGGACTGGCATGACCCGGACACGATCAAAATTGGTGTACAGGTGAGCTTTAAACCACCCACTCTACTCCTTTGAACACTTTTTGGTCTGGGGGTGGTAAAAGGACACTTACAAAGGCTGCTATTCCCAAGCCTTTGAGAGTAGCTAAAAGGACAGGGAAAGAGTCACAGAAGTGGGGTGAGATACAGTTCAGGTCAGGATACGCTTCAGCATTTACCCCATGACAAAGACCGGCTTGAAATCGGTGTCCAACTTTTTCTGTCGACTTGGTTGCCAGCCTCTGGACCTGGGATGTATGATGAGAGTTACTTTTGGTGTTCAAGCGTCCAAAGTGAGGCATTTATGTTTCTGCATCTGTTGGATGCCTCACGTCTGTCCACTCCTGAACCTCCCAATGGACCGAATACGTAGGAGGAACTTTTGGAAAATTAGAGAAAAATGCATGAAGGCGACTCTGCTTGAAAGAGAGACAAGATGGACCGGCCACTGCTTGTTAGTGACAGGCCCTGCTTCACAAGTATTGGTTCGAAGGGCTAGTTGGAATTTGTCCACACGGTTGCGGGTTGACAGCTGTCAAAATCTGGAATCTCACTTCACTTGACTTTTTCCGAGGTGATACATAGTAAGGGACGCCTTTTGGATGAACTGTTTGTGTCCTCTCTGGCCAGCGTCCTCAAGGCCAGAAGGCTCCTCGCATGATCAAAATTCTGAAGAATGTTCTGAGTACTTGGTGATGAACACAGGTGCAGAACTTCGAATTTCGTTGGAGAACAACATGCTAATGTGTGTTGATAAAGCGCCACCCTGGCTATGGCCCAGCGCAGCTTAAATCTGACCTTGATTTGATCTGACAGCTGTACAAGACCCACACGATCGCTGTCAATAAGATCTGACAGCTGTCCACGACCCACACGATCGCCTTACGAACCGGCCACGCCGTTCGAGTGTTCTGGTTGGTCTGCCAGCTCATTGGTCTCCAACTCTCCAGAAATTCAAGTCACGGCAGTCAACCGTTTACTTTGAGCTGGTTCTCAAAATATTTTGATCTTTGCTTGTGCAGGTTCGGACGTACGTAATGGAGGGAGCACCGATCATCGACGGGTTTTTGACGGGGCACATCCAGCCCCCCCCGCTAGAGTGCTACGAAGACCTAATGTTCGACATCATCAGAGACGAGTTTAGGAGGCGCACGCAGTCAATGAACGAGCTCGACAAGTGGGACGATCGGAGTAGGTTACGGGAACGGGTAATCGTGTTTGTGACGAGCGACAACCAGCAGGCGATAGATTACTTGAACACGAACCTGTTCCAGTTCGGGATCCGGTCGTTTAGCACAAAGCACATGCCCTCGCATATTTTAGAGTCGACGACCATAGAGGCGGCTGCCAAGACGTACATAGACTGGTGGCTCTTGACGCAAATGGACCGGTTACTGATCACGAAGAGCACGTTTGGCGAGACGGCAGCTGCGTACTCGCTGAAACCGACTGTAGTCGTAGACGGCTGGGTAGACTCGTGCAGAACTTGGAAGTTCAATAATACGTTCCACTCAGACGGGTAAACTGTCAGGTCAAAGGTAATATGTCTGTCCTGCTACTCACTTCTCAGAGGAAAAGCCGGCTCGCGATTCCTTGATTCTTTGTAGGACTAGAGGCGTAGAGCGGCTGATTAGAATCGAGCTCTAGTTCAGACGTCAAAGATGAGTTTAGGTAGTCTGAGATCTCTCAATCGTCGGATCGCTGACTTCAGGTTGTTCTTATACCGTATCTTTCAAGAAATGCTGACCGTTCAACATGCACCGGTAATAATTCTGTCACGAGCCAATAAGTCAGAGCTACGTATACGGACTCCTCAGCTAGCTCAAGCTTTCGGCTGTGGCACTGACATATAGCATGCGCCAATTATCATCCACCGTCCATGATCGATCACGGCAGCTGCATGCGTTGCGCACCATGCATGTGGCAATTGGACATAGAATATTGCTTCTATTCATGCCAGATGCAGTGCCAGAGGGCAGCGTGTCAAAGTACAGATGATGAGTCCAGCCAGGCGGCCTCCGCGGTGCAAAACGGCGGATACCGTACACAACTGATCGCAGACCACCGTGAATTTAGCTAGCCTGAGGAAGACAACAGTTTTAATACAATATAATGTGGATCATTTCAATATTCAGGCTAGCTGCAGCTGCCTGCATGGCTGCCTGGTGTTTGACTAGGCCTGCAGTTTGTCAATCTCCCGACGGATGCAGAGACTTATGATTATCAGTTGCACGTTGTTTCAATATCCCTGAGCGGCCTTGATACCCTAACAGCCCTGCTTTACATCAGTCGACGGTTCCTACTACGTCACTCGAGCTGACCACCTCTCCCGGAAGCGGCGCATCGCACGCCCGGATGTGCGCTTTCAAGCGCGGAATGTTTGGCTGCACACACCGGCACCGGTGGCAGCGTAGCTCCTTTTTAAGCAACCCATCCGTAGCGTCTGCGGTCGGTCGAGACAGCTGTCCGTCCGTTTCTATCTCGGCGATGACAGCTGTCGCGTCCCGGAAGAAGGGCGTGGTAAAGGAGTTCCAGTGCTTCTTATTCTTTAGGTGCTCCGACTCGAAGTCCTGGCTTATCACGTGTAGGTGCACTTGGCGCATCGACGGCTCCTGCAAAACGAACATGAAGAAGTTAGTACCCCCGTGGAACAATCAGAAGCTCGTAATGTGTTTGCGACCATATTGGCTGCCTCAAGCTTCTGTGTGCAAGTTGGCTCTCTTCACCACATTTCCCATGTTTGGTTTCATGCTCGATGCTTCGAAGCAAGAAGCTTCGCCAGCGAAGTTGCAGGTCGAATGCGGATTTTCGCGGATGGCGCTATGGGTCCCGCAAATGACCAGTCGTTCAAGCAACAGCTTTGCAAGGAGCGCGTGATGCTGGCTTTCGCCAAGCACTTCGTACGTTTATACCTCCGTTCCAACTCTACAGGAGCTTCCCAATGGCGGAACAGCTTGAAAGGTGCCTACGGCTGGCCTCGAATGTTTGTTGAACCAGTTGGAACCGAACACAAAAGAGCAGCTTGGGCGGGAACTAACAGTCGGCCTCGCGGTGATAGGGGTTACGAAGACTAACCGTATGGAACCCGAAACGAAACCGCAGGTCAGGGTCCGATTCGGACGCGCGCGCCGCCCACCGCCGGCCCAGCTTGACCATCTGCTCCAGCAGCGACAGGTGCTCGCGTCCGAGGTCGTACGGAGTGTCCAAACCGTCCGCACACGCCAACACCAGGTAGTGCACTTTCGCCTGCGAGAGGTTGGGAAAGAGTGACTCAGTGCTTCTTGGAGGACGTCCGGAGAAGCAGTACTAGAAGGGCAGACGAAGAATTTTTTTTGCGGTAAATCGCCTGCGCACGCCAATGACAGATGGTGGCTTTCAACGTGCGATGGATGGAAGAGCTGCCAAAGAAAGTCGCCAAAGTCACCTTAATATTCGTATTCACTCGGCAATCGTCTTTCCGGGCTCCTCGCAGCTCCCGCATAAGCAGCAGCAGAAGCTTAACCACAGCGATGTATAGGGGCGGAAAGGGGAATGCAACGAACCTCTCACCTTGTGATATAGATCCTTGATCACGACAGCGCCCCCCTCCTCGTCCAAAACCTCGTCTTGGTGCCGGTCCGGCCGTAGCGCCACGTCCCTCAGCGCTTCGGACCACCCCCCTTTTCCCGCCCACCCACCGCCCCCCCTGGAAGGAGTTGCCTCGGGTTTGGCGCCGGGTTTCGCATCGGGTTTTGCGCTCGGGGCACTTTCCCGGGCGACAGGGTTGCCTTCCGTTCTGGTCTTCTTTCCGTCTTCCGTTCCCTTCGCCCCGCCGCTAGATTCGCGCTTCTTGGCGGACTGCATCATGATTGCAAAGGCATTGACCGGCTTTCCTTTCTCCGCACTGCCTTTCGCTTCCGCTCTGCTTGGACCTGCTTCTAAACTCGCTTCCTTAACCCCTCTTTCAAACCCCTCCGAGCCTCTGTCGGTTCCCAAACCTTTCCTCAGATTTTCTCCCTCCGTCACACCCCGTCTCTCTCCCGCCCCCTCTCTCCGTTCCCCCGGCTCAGACCCCCGACCACTCGCCAAGCTTGAAAAAGTCTCAAAAAGCGCCCGGTAGGCCTGCCTGAGCAGTCTTACCCCAGCCTCATAGTCGCCGTTCAAACAGTTCGGGCGCTGGGGGTTCATGTTCGGACCGAGCACGTGAATCACGTGGGTTACACCCTCCTGGCTCCGCAGCGGGGAAGCAGGGGGTAGTTCGACGGGCAAAGCTGCCCCCGGGGCGAGCGACTCCCCCTGCGCCTTTGTTGCCTGCACGAAGGCGCGCCCTGCTGCGCTGTAGATGGACGCATTCACACCGCCGCCCCCAGGCTTCAGTCGCCTGCAAAAAGCACAGGTGAAAAACGGCTGGACCGAAGGCCTACTTGAACGACACTGGTTACGCTATTTCGAGTACCTTCATTGCAAGCCATGCTCGAGGCACTTCTTGAAGTAACCTTGCAAGCCAAGCAAATGCGTACACCACAAGACGTCAAACACGTCAAGTTGCTGACATTCGCCGGGGGCTTCGTACATTTTATTGCTTCGAAGTAGGACCCAGAGCGCCACTTGTAGCACTGCCGTTCAGGCAGCTTGATCCTACAACAGGACCCCTTTCCGGATCATAAGCACAGAACACTGACTCTGCATGCTCGAAACCTTTGTTACAGCTTTTCCCGTCAAATTTACCATCGGATTTCAAGTTCTCCGAGCACGGTCCCTGATATTGGAGCGTGCGCTGGAACCACGAAGGCATTAGACGGCTCAAGATCAGCAACTATGCTCCGAGAGACTGAAATCCGATCGCAGTTTGACGCAAACGGCTGTAACTTTTTTAACCAGGCGCCTCACCAGTTAGTTGCGTTTGCCAGGACCTGGCTCTCCGGCGCCCCCCCGGTCCTCAGCTTCGTGATATCCGCCCCCCGGATCTCAAACCTCTTCCCTGCTCCAAAATCCAGTCCCTTCCTTTCTGCGGCCCCCCTCACCCGCCGCACGATATCGCTCTCCCCGCTCAGGTCCACCAGCATTAAATGCAGGTCGGCACGTGTCCTCTCCAGAAACGCCGACACCTCGTCCACGATGACGTCAGCGGCGCGCTCGTGATCGAACATGAAGTCAGCCGTCGAGATCGATGGAAACGCGAGCCGGAAGCAGGCCGGGTGTGAACCGGCCCCCTCGCTTGATGACGCTTTCCCGGGGGTCTCCAAAGCCCCCCCTGCGCCGCTGCTTTCTGCACCCCCCCGAAACGAAGGAGCAGCTCGTCCGTTCCCCAAAGAAACTCTCTCCCCGTCACCCCCGTTCGTGAAACCCTGGCCAGGCTCACCGCTCGCTCTTTCGCCCCCATCCCCGCCGCCCCTCGTGCTGAAGCCATTGCTGGCGTCATCGATCTTTCGCTTGCCGTTAACCTTCCCCGCGTCAGAGGCGGAACCCCCATGAGAGAGTTCAGCCGGTTCTGCAGAGATACCTCGTCTTTCGGGGGCATCTATGTCCATCGGGTCGTCCACCACATAAGAGCCGCCGTTTCGTGATGCCCCGCCGAACCCGGATTCCGTCCTCCCCCTTGCACCGCCTGTGCTGACGTCATCTCCGAAGCCACCGTTTCTACCGCCCCAAAAGGGTCTCGTATCGCCTGCGCTTGCGGCAGCGCCAAACGCTCCCTCCCTTGCAGACTGGTTGTCCGTTTGGCCCTCAAATGGTCGCGACCCAATCTCTGGAACTCCAAAGTCTCGCACGGCACCGTCAGAGAATGGGCCTTGCTGTCTTACAGCGTGAGCAGTGCCCCCCGTGCCAATGGTCTTGTACTCGTTGAAGGCTGTCTGGACGTCCATGTCCGTTTTGCAGACTCGGACACTGGTGAAGCCTTCCAGCAGGGACGGCATCTCTTTTGTGCGTATGAAGCTGAAAGGGTTAGGAGTATTGAGTTAGCATCCAGGGATGCTTGCGTGAAGTGCCGTGGGATGCAGTGAAGTGCAGATGTACCTATATCGGCTTCTCTAATTGCTTCGCCGCGACGAACACAACAACCTGATGCGGTCATGAAAGATACCAAGTGTTTGGAAGCCGGGGCCGAGATCTGGTTCGCCACAGAATCTCTATCCCGGAGCACAACTTGTTGTAATGCGCTTGAGCTCACAGCTCTTTGACGTCTTTGTAGGAAATCGCCACTATTTTATGAGACGTCTGATTGAGTATGCAGAAATGGACGAGTCGAAGACCCAAAACCAGCCAACAGACTGATGACGAACAACCAAACTGCAACACAAGATCATCGTAGTTTCAGTACTACTGGGGCAACCCGGAACTCGGATGTCGGAGCCGTCCGCAAATATTTGGAAGATTACTGATTGGAGGAAACAATCACCTATAGGGCGCACAGAGAACTGACCATCAGATGAATCTTGACTAAACGCCTGAACTCCCACCAGATTGAATGTGTGGTCCCTGTATCACAATCCCGCTGCTCCAGCTGATGAGCTCGGCACGCTCAAAACTTTCACTCGAAAAGGAGGAAACGCACCGTCTAATGATGCCTTCTGCCATCGCCCCTTCCACACCCCCCTCATGCCCCACCCTCGCAGCGGCCCTTTGTACCACCAGCTGAAAAGGCAGGTCCAGAAACAACGCGTGCACCGGAATGCGCATGCTCTTTGCAAGGGCAACGAAGTCGGCCCTCTGGTCCCGGTCAATGTTGCAGCGGTCGATGATCACGCAGCGCTGAGAAAGGAGCGCGTTCTTGGCCTGCTTCAGGCACTGCTGCCGAGTGCCCCTGGCGCCGCCAGCGGCGATGTCCTGTTGAAGGAGGGACTTTGTTTAGGTCATTTTATTACAGCAATCTTTGCGGGTTAAGCCTTCCAATGAATCCTACTTGCTTGACAACACGCTCACTGATTCATAGATATTGCCTCTACATAGGTGGGGATGACCTGAGAATCCACAATTACACATACCTAAGAGCTCAACCTGAGCCGCACCACCGTGAACGTGTATGACAGCCGTTAAGGCAGATCTTTTTCGCAACCAGCAGCCATGTGCTGGCACAATTGGGGGGGATACATACAAAGAAAGATCGGTTGTAGAGAAGTGCTTGGCTACCACTCACTGACATGATCAGATGCTTCTCTAAAAGCTCTGATCATCATGTGAAGCTTGCCTACATGTCGATCGAAAGGGGTCAAAGGTGGTGATCAGACGTAAAAGTACCACCAGGAGATGTTATAGTTCGTGTCTGATGACCGGATGCGGTCCAAAGCTCCGAAAGCTTCATTGCAGACCTGTTGAAATCCTGTTCGAAATTCTCGGAATGTTGGGGATGGTATTCTCTTTTGCCATCACTTTCATGGTTTGAAAACTGATGGTATACTACCACATGTCAGATGCATTTGAAGTGACCCTCACCTGGCAGACACGGGTCCAAGGCACGTCTGCCTGCCGCACAAGCGCATCCGAAAAGGTGCTCTTGCCACTCCCTGGCGGACCACCCAAGATCAACATGAGTGGCAGCTTCGGTCCATGGCTCGCAGAGCCTGGTGGGGACCTAGGAAGGGTACCATTCTGAACAAAACCATTCTGAGCAACTAGTCGTCTTTCATTTCCCCTTTTAATTGGTGTTTTGAGTTGTGCAGGTGAAACTGAGAGTCTCTTGGCCTCAAAGTCGGCCAGAAGCGCAGCCTGCTTTGCTATGAGGTCCACATCGTTGAAGTCCAAAAGAGCAGCATTGTCTTCCACTGGTGGTGGATTCTCTGGCGGGTGGCTGAATTGCATGCGGTGCTCTGGCTGGCGCCTGTAGCAACTTGCACCATATCTGCAGGGTGGTCTCTCCGCCTCCACTGGCCGCCTTTCCAGCCAGGGGGCCTCCATGGAGTTGATAAGGTTGCCCTTGCCCCTGCCTGGCGTTGCTCTGAAATGCTAGCTCTTCAAATTCAATCGCACCTTCGTGCAGGGATGTGAATTGAGCTGCTCAGAGTCAAGAGTCAAGGATGTGCCCACGTACGAAAAAGAAGGGTTAGCAGTGCGAACCTTTTCTACGAACCGGGTGGGGCCTGGGTTGCCATCAGGTGCTAGGAGCCTGGTTGAAGTTGCCCGGGGCTTGCAGCATGTGCTGGGTTACGGAGGTAACCTTTCATCCAACCCGTCTATCAAAATTAGGGTTCCGCTCTAGTCCGACTCTAGTATGACTGATGAGACCCAGCTGTGCAGCACTTCCTAGGCAGCGCTTTTATGGGGGGACGGGCTTGGGACGGGGCGCTTGCGTTTGGACACCACTTCGGTTGTGAGGAAAGCTGTGAAGCTAAAAATAGGACCTGAGACTTGAGATTTAGAAACTGCAGGAGATATGATCTCAGCACCGAGGAGCATGCATTGAATAGGTAGATCAAACCTTGCTTGAACCAGAAGTTCCGAGGTGCAGACCAAATTTAACGTTCTTATTGCCAATTTGTGACCGGATATGAGCTAGCCCAATCACGCGGTTGTTGGAAGCTGCCGGATAGATGATTTTTCCTACTAGGTGCAAGTAGTGACATTCCATAATGGAGCGTATCTCCCCCGATGCCGGGCCATCCTACCTGCTCGATTGCGACCTGTTCTCAGACGCAGGGGAGGAGCAAGCTACAATGCTGTCCAGAATGTGAGCACTTCCTCTTGTTGAAGCTGACAGCTTGAGATGGTCTTGTAGCAGCGGTCTGTTGACTTTGTACCACCACGGACCAACTTCTGGTAATATGTGGCAATGTGATGTGTAAGCGTCAGTGGAAACCACCACTTTTTGCATCGCAAGAAAATCAGGTCGGCCATTTTCTTGGGCCGCTTTTTGTTTTTCTTCAGGCGCTTGAGCTTGCTTTGACGCTGTTTCCAATCAAATATCCGACTATGTGCTGTCCCCACTTCTAAGCACTTAATCTAAACTATGCCCCACTTCTTATTTTCGAAGTTGAATCAGGTTACCATCAACAGTCACCTTTTGTCACCTGAAATCTGTCCCTGACTTGGCAGAACGTTCTCACGTCGCTGAGTGCTCGCATCATCCTTCCTGCAGTCCTCAAAAGCCAGGCGACTATGCAGATCGCAGTTACTGGCAGGAAAGGTATAGGGCGGAAGAGGGCGTTTCTTATGATTGGTACGGCTGCTCGTTCGATGATTTCTGGTCTGAAGCACGGAAGGCGTGTCTGTCAAACAAGTATGTACAGGCGCTAGAGATTGGGAGTGGAAACTCTGAGTGGAGCCGCCTGGCTGCAAACAGGGGCTGGCAGGTAAGTTCCACTCAAGTTCTGCTACTTGGCTTTCATCTTGACTAAGTGATGGTTAAATTCTGCTCTACAGACAATCGGTTTGGAGTCGCTTCCCTTACACAGCTGATGGCACAAGTTGAAAACGTAGTTAGCAGAGATAGCACTGTTACAGTTGTAATGAGAGCACTCCTTGTTGATTCAAGAGTCCCGCTTCTCATTCTCATTCGTGACACAGACCTGCCTTTCTTGGTTGTAAACCGGTTTCTTGTGAATTGAGTTGGTTCTTTTACATCAGCTGTCCTGTTGATGATGGTTCTAAAGCGTCAAGAACGTTTGGGGAATTACAGCGAGAAAAAGTTCTCCATTCTTGTTGTTTCAGATCACTAGCACGGACATAGACTGGGGGGTCCTCCGTGCACAAGACCAAAACGGATACAACGGCATCGAGAAGCTTGCTGTCGACGCGCGGAGGTTACCTTTTGCTGGTGAGCCGTTCCGTCAGCTGCCGAATGCGTACTCAGACTTCGTGCAAGCTCAGGTGCCGATAGCGTCCATTTGACCTCAATTGAAGTCTTATGGTAGGGCATTTCTGGTCATTGAACTCGGAAATTCGGATCGCGCTGCGCACAAATGGTCTTCGGTTTTCCGCCATTTTAAGGTGTATAGCGCCTGATCAGAACTGTGGAGAACTCGATCATTATTCTTATAGCCTGCTGTAAATATCGGAGGCTGGCGGATGGATCCGGTGAGAAACAACAGGCGGATGGAACTTATGAGAAAGTAAAGGTAGCGGTCCTCACGAGAAAAGCTAGCAAAGCAGTCGCCCAATGCCCGAAACAGCATGCATGCGTTTAACAGTCGAAAAACATCTGCAGACGGCTGCTTCGACGTGGCGTTCGAAAAAGGGACGCTGGATGCCATCTCGTGCGGCGCATGCGGGCAATCTAACGTGGCTTCTGTGGCCCTCGAGCTGCTTCGTTGTTTAAGACTGGGTGGCGTGTTCTTTCTAGTCACCGCAAAAGAGCCCTCAGGATTTCTGAGTATAGCACATGCAACACACTTACGAACCCGAAACAAAGATTGGACAGGTAATTACAGTTGGCAAGCACAGGCCTCTGTTTCCAAAGGCGGGGTCTGGATCGTTGCCCTTGTCAAGAAGGTTCGTTGATGAGTCCGGAATTGGGGCCCTTGGTCCTAATCAGGCGGTCCTGGGTCCATGCAACTTTCATGATAGGGCCGAGTATTGTAAAGTCAAAGTTGAAGCCTCGGATGCACACGGGCAATGCACCGTGCTATGCATGCTGCATGTAAACACACGTTAGCTTCGGAAGCACGACGGTTTAATTAAGTTGATCTGCTTAAGGTCAGACCTCAATCGTGGCAGAATTACGCGGCGGCGCGGATCTAACCGAACATGCATGCTGGAATCGACATCACAACCGTTCAACGGTTCAACGGTTAATCAATTCAGCTAGACTCCGGTGTACTGAAAAATCTAAAAAAGTCCAATCGTTTACATTTCGAGAATCAAGCCGCCGCCAGCTGTATCTGTATATGTGCGGCCGCTCTTGGATAAATCGATCGACTGTGCGCCAGGCTGCAGATACCGCGGCCTCGGTATTCATGCACTGTATATACGGGCCTCTCGATTGATAGCATGACATCATTAAGGTATATTTCATGGTGTTCACCGACTTGTATATATATGTTCACTTAGCTCAATATATATTACGTCTGTGCACACGACCGTTCGCCTAATTAACATGCACTGAGTCGAGCACCCGAGCATCACTAAGTACCTGCAGCCCGCATGAGAGACCTGATATCATGCACTGTAGATTACGTGTTTAGATGTCTAGCGTCGAATCAATCTGCATATCGAGTACCGTACCACATGCCGTACGCCGCACCCTTGCATGATAGACAACATAGACTTCATATCGACACTTTTTATCGTGGTACTACATGCCCGTACTGACAAGTGTGCCTGATTGGAGGCAACCTAGCTGCCATGTCGCCACACCGTCCCAATAAGGCGCGCTTTTGTGTTGAAAAGGTTCAAGCTATAGCCTAGCTGCATATGCCAGTCTTCCCCAAAAAAGCTGTCGATCCAAGTTCTCAGGTTCAAGGCAAGCTCTAAGGCATCTTATGAGTGGCAAGCTTGTGCAGCGTAAGTGTTGCTCGCCAGCTCCTAAATGACTCCTCTAATGGTCCAGTGAATCCTGCTGTAATACCTCCAATAATCCAAACTCTTTGCCAAACTGCATGACCATCGTAGTTACAGCTTGTTCAACATTCGTTTTAGACACACGGGACTCGCCCATTCAAGGCTGCACGGTTGTGAAGACTTATTCGCCCATCACGTTCGTCCTAGTTTCTAACCCGCTCCTTGACCAGCACGGTCAAGACGACCCAAAGAGTACACCGCACGCCGCCCGTGCAGGCAGGTTACAAGTGTTAACCAATATTATTACCAGCCAACTCAATTTTTGGTCACGTGGTACGCTGTGGCCACTGCCACGACTTCGGCTTCAATTCGTACGGCGTGCTGCCGTCCGCATCTGCCACGTGGGAGTCCGCACCAGCTTTCAGGAGCTCTGCGGCAACTGCCTCGAAATCGCACGTCGCTGCGTAATGCAGCGGAGTTGCACCGTCATTGTCCTGCCAAAGAGAAGATAACAAGCTCAGTGCACTAAGTCTTCAAAGACCAAGTCTTTGTTTTCTGTAGTGTGGTTCGGTCTAATTGCCTCCTGTGCCCAACAATTCCGAGCACCCTTCTGATCCTAACAAAAGAAGGTGATACCCAGGAATTTCGGGTCCAGAAAGGGACAAGAGGGTTTCGGTTCCAGAAAAGGACGAAAGACCAAGCAGTGCTATATTGGGCGGGCTTCGGAAGAGTCCGGACGATCAGTCGCTGCGACCAAGCGGCTCCCTGGCGGCTCATCAGGAAAATGCCCATTCGATTGAGGATCTTCGACCACCTCAGTAGAGCTTCCACGTTCCTGCTTGAATCACACATAGCGTCCAGCATTCTGAACGCAGCTCAACTAAAGACGTGACCGAACATGTGGTGCCAAAGACTCAAACTGGAAGGACGAGCCAGCCAGACATTGAACAATACGACATGAGCTCGATAGCGAATTTCGTCATCTGGATTTATAAATGCACTGAGGGGAGGCAGATTTGGGCTCACTTTCGCGTTCGGGTTGGCCCCCCGTTCTAGCAGCAGCTTGACCATCTCGAGGCGCCCCCCGTCCGCTGCCCAATGGAGTGCCGTCCGGCCTTCGTCATCTGCACCGGAACCAACCTTTTCGAATGCTCGACTGACCCAGTGTTGGCCCCAAACCTGTTCTCTGGACCCAAAGCAACATACTATCAAAAGAGCTGCGTCCGAGTCTGTTCCCACGACCCGAGTCTAAGCGGCAGCCTTCGTGGAAGAGCTTTTGTTCAGACCTTGTTGCAGGATCAGACAGGATCACAACTCGCTTCGACAATGAACCTATGATTGGCACCGTCTTCCAACTTGCAAGCTCGCAATATGCTCCCAAAATGTCGAAGTTCCGTAGCTCAAAGGAGGCGTAAGGTATCCGGACCAGTCAATCTGCGATCCCTGATATATTGGGTACTTTCTTCTTAAACAAACCGACCAGTGCACAGAAATAAAAAAGCACGCTATAAATAGCCCGCTTTGCCGCCATTGGGAGTCTAAAAGCCGGGATTGTAGTTAGACTTTTCATCAAGATCACCTACAACGGTTTGTAGACAATCCTTCTCCGGCTCTCATCGAGAAAAAGGTTAGAGGAAATCAAACTAGGAATGAGGAGTCCGAAAGGACGCCTACCCGCGTCGTTTACGTTCGCCCCCGCTTTCAGGAGTGCCCCCACCCCTGCCTCGTCCCCTCGACTCGCGCACCCTGGTAGCCCCGCAATTTCTCTGCACGATGGTGACGTCAGAGTGTGTCAGCATGGCGGCGCCCTTTACTCTGAACGGCATTTTTGTTCAGAGGAGTGCCGCATAGAAGTGGGGAAAGACCAGTTCGGAGAATCGAGGAACTTGATGCATCCCGATTCAGTCGGGGCTTAAGCCGTGCGTATCAAAGTAAGGCGAGGTGGCGTGTCAAGTCCGCGTGATTGGCAGGCTGTGTCCAGTCCGTTAAACCAGGACGTTAACCAGATTCGATAAGCAAATCTCACTTCTCGTCATCTGGCCCTGGCGTCCCAACCGACGGTACACTGAAGACTGGTCCCCCTCCCTGGCTTCCGGAGCTTCGACCTCCAAAGGAGGGCTGCAAAACGGTCTTAGGGTGCCAGTTAAGGAGTAGTCTGGCAAAATCCCGGGAGGCAGGAACGAAACAAATCAGAACTCACAGAAAGGGACGGAAATGGGCGGAGAACCCAGAGGTTCAGGAAGGGCCAAAGCGCTCCTCAATACCGACAGCTGAAACCGGTCACAGAAGGCTTATGGGCTCGATGAAAACTAGGATATGTTTCCTGATTTTCGCAATATAGGAGGATGACAAGTCCTTGTTGAGAACGGCAATCCTCTGCATGCCCTCTTCACCTGACAGAGAGGATGCGAGCAGAGACCGCAAGTAACCGACAAAGAAGCAGGTTTGGAACGATTCAGCAGCCTAAATAACTCGCTTTGTCTACCTCACAATCGCTCAAACGTTTGGATTCCTTACACTGCAGAATGAGGCTATGCACCCGTCAAGCTGTATCTTAGAGATAGCTCTTAACAAAGGGCTAATCCACTGCATCCTCCCTCCTCTGTGCAGGAGTCCAGCAAATGACTTTTGAGTCACCCTTGCTCTGAAACATGGGACCATAACCAACGAGGTTTCACCAGGAGCTATGTTCAGAGTAGAGACCAAACGCACTCACGTCCTCGCTCCTCTGCGCAGCGTTCCACTCAGGGTCGATAGCGCACACGAGGGCCACATAGCGTGCCATCGCCTCTTCCTTGGACATTCTGCCGTGTGCCGACCAAGCGTCCCTGGGGACAAGCGGGAAGCACCTTTCAGGCCGCTCCTATTACATGACTGATTTACAATACATGTAAACACACGATAAAAATTGCTTTAGTTAGGCGCTAGCCCACGGCTAGGCTGCACTTGAAAAGCCTCAAAAGGTCAAACAGGGATTGACAGCTTCCACCATCAATGGTCCAGATTCAAGGAATTCAAGGAGAGTGAAACTTCCTTACGCTTGATCAACTCCAATGCACGCGTTCTGAAGGGGAACCAACAATTGTGGACAGACTTCTGCGGCCGACGAATGCCTTTGACACTCAGCTGATGTAATCATGTCATCAAGAGATACACAGAAACACAGACATGAAGTTCAATCAAGGGTCCCTCTTAGAGAAAGCATCATCGCATGGCCAATTTTAACATAGCGGATGGAAGCAGATGGCGCCCGTCGGGATTCCTTCAAGCTTCAATACCAGTCGTGCTTTAGAGGTGCACTGAAGCTGCAGGTAGAAATAGACTGCACCAGTAACCCCTTCACCAATCAAGACTCACCACTTGGCGCGCTTCGAAGGGTGGAAGGGCCCCGGCCTCGACCCCGTCGCCTCCCCCGCAGTCGCCTGCTTGAACAGTCCATACAACTGTAACTGCACATTTTGTCCCAGCTGGCGCCCCCCCTGAACGCTTGCAGCCACCCACGCCGACGCAGCATCAAAGGCCTCCTCTGCATCAGTCCCAGGCCCTGTGCCCGCGTCGTCTGACTCGTTGTCTGAGTCGCCCCAGTCTGAGCCCGAGGAGACACCTCCCCCGGCAGGGCCCTCGAGGCCCAGGGCTTTGAGACGGTGCTCTGCGTTGCTTTGATCGTTCATTGCGTGTGGCTGGTGGAGAGCAGGAAAAGTGATGGTTCTGTGATTGTGGCAGGGAATATGTGCCGCAGATATTGGATTCTGCTGCTCAAAGACGTGCGGAGCTTTGCGTGGTTGTTTTGGGAGAAAGGAATGATGAAAGCTCAGAGATTCATCAGCGTGATTCTTTCCAGAAACAGCTGTGCATTACCTGCGCTTTTTGCTGACAACAAGATATGCGTCAAGAGCTGGAATACAAAATTTGTATTATGCCGAAAAGGGAGCCTGCGTGCATTGAATGAGTCTAATCAGCTTCACTTTTCGCTGACTCGTCCTCCACCTCCTTCCGCACATCAGCGTCGTCGTCGCGCTTCCTGCGAACGCTCAGCTGCTCCTGCTTGAACGTGGTCACAATGTCCAGCAGCTTCCAAAGCATCCAGGCAAATAGGACGGCCAGTAGGAGCCCGCCGATCACTTCTTGCGTGCTCCCATCCATCATGGGCGCCTTCGTTGTGGAAAGCAACTTTTCCGTTTTGATATTCTCCTCCAGAGATGTGCGCACAAGCAAGCCAATTTGCATTTTCAATCTGGCTAAGCATCACGCCAAAGAGATACTACTGTATACATTTGGAACGACACCTCGTTGCAGCGCCCGCGGAAAGCAGACCCCCGCAATACAGTACATTTTGCCAAGCCTGTCAAAGGAAGCTGTCGGGAGGAAGCATAGAAGGCGACCCAGGCCCAAGGCCAGGGCCAGGATCATTCATTGAATTTGAATGGCGTCTGAGGAGCTTCCCCATTTCTTTGAAGACTTCTTTGCAGAGTCCCCCTCTTTGCCTAGAGCCTGCAAAGCTTGCGAACGGCCAACATCAACCTGCCTCTGTGATGCCTTGCCGAAGGAGCCATTGGTCACAAAAACAAGGGTGGTCGTCCTGCAGGTAAAACGGTTTGAAGTTTATCTCCTGTGCAATCGTTCAGAGGAAGGTGGCGACTGATTGTGGCTTGGTTGCATCAGGAATTCTTGATGTCTAGGTGTTCTGTGAATTTCCTGCAGGTTTCGATGGTTAAAATGCTGTCACATGGGCTTCAGTTTAGGGTTTAGTGTTTGAATGCAGCAATGCGTGGAGTTGATGCAGCTATAATGAACTTATCCTGAAAGGAAGGGTTGTTTCAAGGTGATGGCTGATGCTGCCCTGACCACCTTCTACTCGGTCTGATTATGAGTAAACACTCATGCTCATACCCGGTCCCTTACAATCCAACTTGATTGCATTTGCGAAAGTCAAACAATACAAAGCCCTGACTCTCGCAAAGATGTTTCTGGCCATCGAAGACTCCAGACAGTCTGAAGCTGCCGTTCATTGAGGTGTTCCCTGATCTCCCATTGGCTTACTCTCCATTTATATCACCTCCTTTCATCTTCAAAAACAGCCCTTTTCTTGAAGTAGACTCTTTGGGTGTCCGCAAATGTTTTCTCAAGAAGGGATCTGGATTCCTTTGATACTTGACCTTCCAATCAGCGCTTCGTTCTGGAACCATACATCTGCTTTGGTCAAGAATTAAATTATCCATTTTCAGTCCACCTGCTGAACCAAAGCCCGGATTCTCGTGCAGCACCCCATGGAGGCCGCCAAGCGCCTGTCCACTGTGCCCCTCCTGTCCAAAGTGCTCCTTCAAACAGAAACGTTTCTCGGAAGAAGGTTTCGTGTGGGGTCTGATCCAATGCTCCATGCTAGACTCCGGGGCGCCGGCGCTGAGTATCTTAGTGCTCCCCATGGATTGCTTGAAGATGGAGAGAACCCCTTAGGCAGTCCGTCAGCAGCTTCCGAAAATGGAAATTGTAGTAGATCTTCGTTATGTGGGGGGCTGAGATGTCTGGATCCTGGAGAGGGGATGGATGGTTCAGGGCTCGGCAGGGGACAGCAGAGGCTGGTGCTACTTCTTTTCCCTGGGCCTAATGCGAAGGACTTGAGCCAACTCGCGCAGGAGGTGCCGGGGTTTCGATCCCTCGAAAAGACGCTAGTGGTGAGTGGATTAATGAATATATTTCGCAGATAGACTGATTTGGATAGAATGTGAGCCCAGCACCACTGTGAATGCCTGGTTACTTGTGGTTTCAACGACTTTCATGCCTTATCTGAGCTCGTTTATCTGTTTATCTTTCGAAGTTTTTCCTTACATGCACTCTCTCTCGGAGACGTATGATTCTCATCAGGCAGGCAATCTCGCTTAAATGTCTCCTCTCCTTTTCGAAACATCAAACAAGTGGTAGAAACTCTTTCAGCCGGACTTTTGGACACTCTTAGTCATTACGATCTCCTGACGCCCCACGTTATTCATTTCAGGTGATCGATGGAACCTGGCAGCACGCTCGCGAGATGTTTCGTTCGTTGGAGCCTCACCTCCCAGGCTCGGTAACCCAAGTACAATTGCCATCCGCCCTCGAAAACTCATCTGAACCGCTGATGAAGTGTCCTGGGGGCCTGCTCATGCGGAAGGAGCCGAAAGCAGGGTGAGGCTTCGCTTGCAACTTCTCTTAAAGATTCTAATGCTTATATTTCTTGTTCTTTTCGAATGTCTTCTACTAACATCGCCAGGGCTTGTGAAGTCGAACATTCCTCCCATCGCCAGTCATATAAGGTTATGGACGAGATTCGTTAGGTTACTCAACAACTTATCCGCCTACTTTTCAAAACCAATCCGAAATGGCGAACACGTCCCAAGCTTGATCTGTGCACCCGCTTGGAGTACATCTCATTGCCGACATGGCTTCTGATCACGCTTGAAAAGAGTCCACAAACAGTTGGTCTTGACAGAAGTGTTGACTCAAACTGTCACCATCCCCGCACTGATAAATTTCAGAAAGTCCTCTCTTTTGACGAGAGTCTCAGGAAGACCGACTCATTGGTTTGAGAGCGACCCTGGAACAACCTGGCTATAGCGAACCTGGCCCTGACGAGGACGGTGTCTTTAGACCGTGCTCTTACCTCACGTTGAGACAAAGTCCAGAAACATTGCGTTCAAGCGAAGCCATCTGTTTTGCCACAGGTTCGTCAGCACTTCAGAGGCGGTCGCTCGAGCGCTCTTCTTCTGCGAACCGGACGGCGCGTGCGTCCGAGACGCGATCTTAGCCCCCCTGAAAAAGATGGTGGCGTTCCAAGCAGCGCGCAACCCTGCCATGGCAGCCAAGCAGGCGGTGTTCGAGGGGGGGTGAACCGTTCTGGGGGGGAAGCTGGCCTTCAATTGAATCGTACCCAACTTTGGGGGGAAAAAGGCGATCCGCATTCAGTTCCTGAACGAAAGGGCGAGCGTGTTGTGACTGACCTTCAGTCTCACACGGACACGGTCAGGAGGTGATGGGTTAGTCAGGCGCCGAAACTGCGCCTCATGAACTGGAAGCGAGAAGTAGAGGGATGCTCGTCGGGGGACGTCTCCCAAGTCGCGCTTGGCTTTCTACGTACCGACGGTGCCTTCGTCGCTTGGACTGGCGAGTCTACAGAAAAGTGGTGTAAGTGCGCTGAGGAGCGGACAGAGTCGGATTCTGAACGCCAAGAGGCCACAGCACGGTGAGCGACTTCCCAAGACACGGCTGCGATCCGCTTCTGTGTAGGCTATCCCTTGACTTGGATTCGACAGCAGTGGTTGCGAGGACCTAATTCCCCTTGATCAATCAAAGCTACGGTTGAGAATCAACCTACCAACTTCCTCCAAGGGAATGCGAAAAAAGGCGCGTGTCGGCTGTCTCCTTCCTGTGTGGCCTTTAGCAATAGATTCAATCGTCTAAATGTTGAGATTCCGATGACTAGGTTCACGGGTTCAGATTCAAGAAAGCTGCCAGCTTCGTTCCCCGTAGGTGGTTCTAAATGAGCATTCGTCTCGCTGCTCTTTTCGTCACTGAAGGCTCCAGCCCAAGCTGTGTTTACGACAGTCCGTCTCAAACCGTCGTTCACTAGCCTTATTCAAAAGGCTTCCTCTTTTTCTTGTCTACAGATGAAGCCTCTTGAAAGGCGGACCGCATGCAACAAGATAAGCGAGCAGGTCCTTGCGGCTTTCCAGGGCGCCCCGGCTTTACTTGCTGAGTAGCGTAATCCCCTTTTCTGCAGAAACGTCGCGAGAAACGGCGCCAAGAGCTGCAGCTGATGTGCATGTGACCCAGCACCGCTTACTCCAGCAGCGGCCAGGATCTGGGCCCTGGTAGCAAGACCTATCACTTGTGGTCTTCATGGGAGCGAAATAGGTTCAAAGCCCTTGCGTTACTGCCTGGGCAATATGCTTGACGTGCATCGCTTCAATACCGCTGTGCCCTTTCATACATGCCAATGATAGGTGTCAATATACATATGGTTGGGCGGCAGATCGATGCCACATGTGGCAAGCTGAGCTACCGCTGGACAGTGTGCCAGCCATATGATACGAGTGAGCTGACACTGACGCTGGCGAGTCGGAACATTCGTCGTTAAAGTCACACCAAGGTCATGAGCACTGGCCGGGAAATTGATTTCGACCGTACTGGCAAGTGCATACGCGCATGTAGAGCTAGTAGAATCATCGAATATAGCGGCACTCACTTTTGATGATCCTTAGCCTCCCGGCCGGCCGGGCCTGCATGGGATCAAACTGTTTGTGCATGCTGTCAGTGGACATGTTCAATACGCTTACATAACAATCTGACGGGCCTAGTGCCTAATCCATTGACATCCAAGTTGAACTAGCTGTACTGAAGGCCAGTTCATGTTACGTACAGACAAAAGTGGTCATGAGCGATGTACGTCAGTGTCCATGGGTGCACGTACTTCGAGCCGACTCGAGCGGCCATGCTATATGTTGCATATCATCATGCGTCACTTCGACCTGCTGTGCGGCAGCACGGTCATGCAGCTGACGCCTCAGTACTAAGCTGGGTCACTGGACATGCCTTAAAGCTGGCCATTGATATATTTGCCCGCGCACGTATAGCAGGGATATGTTTGCCTTCAGACAAGAACAACATTAGTCAGTACACGGGCGCATGCGGCCCATGGGGACCTTGATCCATAAACATGAAGATGACTCGCAGCCTGCCCACATATGCGGTGTGGCCGTCTACCACATGATCTTGATTGACGACAAATAAGACACTGGGATCAAACCCATGATTCAACTTATATGTTGCATCACAATGGTGGATGCAATTGTTACACAGAATTCACAAAGGGGACGCGTCTATAAGCTAAGCTTTATTCTGGGGAACATTGGAATGCTTCTCTTGTCACCTGAGCCGCACGGTGTATCCGTACTCGCTCCGCTTCTTTTAATCAGCTAGCTAAACAGTTTATAAGTATCGGCAAAACGGGACCTGTTCATTATCATGCAATTCTACTAAGATTGAGTGCGCGCGCCACAAACGTTACCTCAAAACCACTATACAAAGCGCCCCGGTGCAGAAACCCCGAGGCTCAACCGATTGCTATGAGCGTCCCATCCTTTGCAGAGTACTCCTCTATGTGAACCACTGACTGCATCGACGCGCGCTCCAAGCCCACGACGCTGAACGTCAGCTTGACGTCCTGCGCTCTTAACCCAGCTTGGTTAAGGCCGTACAATGGGCTCTCCGGGTCGATCATGTGTTGTACAACCATGCCCTCGATTTGGTACGCCGCCCCTGATCGGACGAGCTTCAGGGGCTGTTCCGTCCGGGCCCAGCCGCCGGCGGAATCCGTTTTGACGGTTCGCGTGGCCGTGATGTCGACCTTTACGTCAACCAGTTCTTGCTGGACAGCATATCGAAGCGCGAGCATCCTGCAGGAAGTCGAAGCTTCAGTCTCTTGCTTAGCATACCAGGAACATATGGTATAAGTGTGTTGTTTCGCTCGGTTGAACCGGGGTCAAGTGATTTTGATGAGGATGGTGCTCCAAGGAACGTATTAGACGCCTGAAATTTTGAAGGGTCGTCCATTCTGGTGGACGCACATGTCAGGAGGGGGTAAATCTTAAACGCGCTTGGACTCCAGAAGGGCTTAAACACGGGGTTTGCAAGTTCGAAAGGCTGCTACTGCCGTTCAGAAGTGATTGGAAGACCGTGCCTCGGTTGGAAACAGGCAGTCAGATCCGGGGAATGTGCTTACACACCTTTTCCTGATGCGGAAAAGCCGATTTTACAGACGGTGAATTTTACTGCGGCGGATTGTCATTGCACAGGACGCATCCAAACTTCGACGGCCCGTGCTTTCATACTCGAAGGAAACCTCAAGATGAACGAATACCTTCCAAGAGCTTTTGAGGTCGATAAATTTGCCAGGAAACCATTAAGAAAGGGCTGAGCTGATAACATTCTGATTTGACGTTATTGTCCAATATTTCAAATCCTGGGGTTATGTGCATGAGACTCAAATCTTCTTGATCAACAAGCGTCAATTGCACATGATTGCCGCGCGAGCTGCAGAAGAGCAAATAGAGCAAAACCTTGACAAGAAAAGGATATGATAATCTCAACTTGAACTATCATAAGTCGCAATGTCGACAGCAAATATGAACCACCTTCTTACATCATCGTGTTTATGAACCTCGTAGGAGACTCGAATAAGCAGGTTGGTTGTTTTGAGAATGCAAAACTTTGTGGTGGAAACCTAAACTCTTGTCACCCAAGACTGTAACGCAACAAAGTGAACAAATCTTAAGCTCACCGTTGCCGGGGCGTTGTAGGCAGGCTCGTGACGACCGCCTTCTTGGAGCAGGCGATAGGCTCGGCGGGCTGCGAGAAGCGCGCAAACACGGCGCCGCTCAAGAGGACGAACATCAGCTGCGAGGCCATTCCGTTCAGCTGCGCAATGACCATGGTGTACGGGCTGACCGCGTGCACAACCTGCGGGTTAAGAAGCGGGTTAGGTTAGGAGCGAGTTGTCACTGTGTTGGTTTAGGATGGTTTTAAATGGTCACCTTTCTGAGTTGTAAGTAGTGACATGTCAGTTACAAACCCTCATCATGGTTTGTAAGTGACCGTGATGAGAAAGTATGTAACCAGAACCAGCAGGTTGAGAGGAGATGAATGTGGAAAATAGAGACTGGGGACTGTCGAACAGAATTCGCGGGTGCAAACACCAAAATCTTGGGAAAATGAGACCCTTCACAAGGACAACAAGGAATAGCATCAACGCCCCTTTGACAGTGCAGCAACAAACACTCTATAAGAAGAACTAAAGTCTGGCGCATCGCATTATTAGCAGTGGTGCAGCGGCGATGGCTTCAAGGGAAAGCTGGAGGCACTATTCAATCAATCAAGAGGCTGGACAAGCAACGTGAAAAAACAAAATCTAAGCAGAAAGCTTTGACAGTGGTGGTGGTCCAGATGAAATTGAAGTTTGCTGCAAGCTCAGCTGTGGCGGCCAAACTTGATTTTGAGGCCAAACAAAGATCTTCCTGGTCCAACTCAGAGCAAGGCAGATCTGATAGTTGTAACACGTAATCTGGTGGCCAAAAGGAGCTAGACCCGGCCAGCTTCAAGAGGAAACAGATCTTGAAAAGTTGCAAATCCTCCTTGCGATCATTAGTGGCAGAGGTAACTCTAATGAATGCTATTATAACGTGCTAATATCAGGAAGTAGCATCAAAAGCAAGAACACGTTCGCATTATGCACGATCAGACAATATACCACTTGGCAAGAAAAGGCATGTCTAGCACCAGAGCACCATTTTTCTTTCTCAAGCAAAACAGTAATGTCTGATGCAACCATATATAGAATCAATTGCTGCTAATCTCCGCCTTCATCTCATTGCCTACAACAGGTCCCCTTTTGATTCAGAAGTGACAATATGTGACTTCCCTCAAGCCTCACAAAAACCAAAATCAACCACTTAAACCACACACTTAATCAGACAGATTGCAAGGGGGAGGTCACCAATTCAACAGGGCTGTCACCGCGCCCTACAAATCTCATCATCACCTAGACAACCAACTTGAACAAACACAGGAATGAAGTGCACTCACCGGATCTACGCCCGTGCTCATGCCCAGGCTCATCATGAACGCCTCAAAGAAGCTGAAGAAGTTGATCCCCTGAGCTTGGTCCACTCCCATTGCCTGCGCTCCCATCGCCGCAAACTCGCAGCTCGCACTCGCCGACTGCATGATGCTATCGTCCAGTGCCAAACCCCCTGGATCCAACAGGTAAAAAGCCGTGAACGCCGCGCTCAAGGCCGCTGGCGCCGCTACCAAAGACCCCAGGAACGCCGGCCACTTCTGCTTAAGCAACCCCTGGTACATATCTTGCACGGTGTTCGGGAGCCCCTTGCGAGCTTCAGGGATGTGCAGCTTGTTGATCAGGGTTTGCGGTAACAGTTCCGGGGCGGGAGGGTTCAGTCCCAGGGGGTCAAAGTGGCCGCCGTCGAGGTTTGGCGGGGGGCGTGGCGCATCTGCAAAGTAATGGAGGTCATCCCCCTCCTGCATCTCAGGGTGAGTTCCGATGCTCGGATGCCACTGCTCCCGCTTCCGCGGTGCCGCCATCCCCTCTCTCAACACCCCTGGCACCTGCGAGCTCTGCGCCTCTGAGTGCGACCTACTCCTTTCTTCCCAAGGCGCCATGTGCTTTGCCAGGGGTGCGGACGAGTGTCTTCGCTGCAGGGGGGGCTTCTCAATCTGCGCCTCACTCACACTTTCTTTTAGCAACTGCTCAAGCATCGCGATGTTGGATGACGGCGCACGCTCCAGGCAGGCTTCCACTGATGAGAGGCTAAGCGCACCAGAGATGGTCCGCTTTATGCTGAGGGGTGTCCCGGGGTTTAGGGGCTTAGGGCTTAGGGGTTTGATCGACGGCTGGCTCTGGAGAAGCTTGTGCACAGGCGCAGAAGGAGACCGAGAGAGTCGCTCCCAGTTTCCACCGGACCCGGGAGATCCCAGCTGGTGTGAAAACAACACCCGTCTTGAGAGGCTCGAGGAAGAAAACCTGGAAAAGCGCAGGCCTGGGTTCCAGATGGCCGGGGGCGCCAGCGAGGGGCCCTGAGGGAGCAAGGGAGTGCTTTTGCGCAGGGGGGGGCGGGACGGTTTGACACGGCCGCCGGCATTGACGACATCTTTCCGCCACGAGTTCTGAAAGCCATGTGCCGCTCCTAAGTGGCCAACGTGCAGCTGAGAGAAATGTATGGCTGTGGCCATGACGGTGAGACTGATCAACAGGCCTCTGAAGTGCACCCGCTAATGCTATCTCATTGGACTTCTCTCGACTGAAATGGACTTCTCTGATTTACTAAGAACCTGCTGAGAGCTGAAACTAGGAAATTTGAACAAAGCTGTGTCCTGCAAAAGCTAGACTCCTTGTTGTTTCTGTCCCGATTGCTTGCGGCCCTCAGATCTATGCAAACGCCGACTGTCCTTGAGGTGATTGGATGCACCTTGGAACAAGAAGAAAATCAACAGAAATGCGCAAGCAGAATCTTTTCACAAACACCGACAGCCACATACGAGGGAGGCCAGAAAGAAGTGCTTCTTTGCCCTGCTGTGGCGTTCTCCTCAAACAAACACTTCAATTGCTTCTTCAGGTTTCGACAGACTGCCTAGGGAAGGAACGCCCGAACTCCACGGGTATCCAACCCTCGAATCATTGCATGGCTGCACTTTTCGTGACTCGAAATACGTGCCAACCCTTGGCAGAAACAACTCCCTCCCTCTTGCAAGCTGCCTTTCCAGAGCTGCAGATCTGGAGAAAGCAGTCCGTTGGAGTCCACCATGGGTGACAGCTGTTCGCCATTTTAAGAGTCCCTCTCCCAAGAATCCCTTGGGGATACCCGCCTCGCATCATTGCAGAATGTCCCCTCTGCCACGCTGGCATGTAAAGCGCAGGGGCAAATCAGACTCTTTGCTGAGATTGGCTGATGAAGCGAGAGTTCGAACCTCGGGCGCACAATAGGGTGACATGTGTCGACCTTTGAAAACCCTGCGCGAAATTTGCTCATGGAGTGACACGTTGCACTTCAGGTAGTTTATGCCACCTGGCTGAAAGGTGGCGCAAATCCTCGATCCGGCCGCGATCGGCCGGAACTACCGTATACTTCAGTAGTCGAAGGGGGGGTGGCTGGTGGCTGGTGGGGGCAAAATCCAGGGGCCAATTTACCCCCAGGTAGAATCGTGCATCCAGAAGGGAGGGGGGGGCCGTTTTGATTTTCAGAGTTCCGGACGCCCCTACATACCTTTTTTTTTTTTTTTTC